GGATTTTCACTGAGACAGGGATCAAAGAAAGCTTCCCAGAGGAAATATTGGTTGGCTTACATTCTGAAGGATGAATAGGAGTTCACTAGCAGAGGAGAGGAGAAAAGAGCATCCAAGCAAAAGAAACAACACATCTATAGGCCATGGAAGGAAAAAGCATGGTACATACGAGGGGCCACGGCTAAGCAAAGAACATGTGAGTGGCGCATGAAGAGGCTTTGACTTAGAAGAGGATGGGTTATTATCTTAATAGCAATAGAATCATCCAAGCCCTTTAAACTGGATGTTTGTGAAGTCTTTAAAAAGGGTCCACTGACTCACAACCCTGGTTGTGCATAAGAATTATCTAGAGAGTTTTAAACACACACACACACACACACACGCACACACATACAAACACACACACACACACACACACACACACACACACATGTTCAGCCCCTGGTGGAGAAGAAATGAATTGGAATCTTTAAAGCTATTATCCAAATATCTTCTATAGTTTGGGGCTTTATTGGTGGTGGTGGTGGTGGTGATTTTGGTGCTGGTCCTGGGGCTTGAACTGAGGACCTAGGTGCTGTCTCTGAGCTTCCTTTGCTCAAGGTTAGAACTTTACCACTTGAGCCACAGCTCATTTCTAGATTTTTTTCAGTTGTTTATTGGAGATAAGAGTCTCACAGAGTTTCCTGTCCAGGCTGGCTTCGAACTGTAATCCTCAAATTTCCGTTAAGATCACAGGGATGAGCCACTAACACCAAGCTTCTCCTGTATTTTCAAAACACGTGTCCTAAACCAAACCTACAATACACATATACCTCCCTGACTTGGTCAAATATAAACATGCCTGAAGATGAGACAAGAAAGTATTCACCCAGATTGCACCTGGCACTTTCTGCTGGAGAAATGACTGTAGCTAAGGATTGAGTGAGCTGGGTACCTTTGATTAACAGTTGCCAGATGTGGATAATAGATCAAACTTGAATTCTTGGCCTTGCAAATAACATTCAGGCCTCTAGAAAACTGTCAATCCCATGCATTTGGAAACCTATAAACACCAACGATCTACTCTATTTGGAAGCTGGAAATGCCGAGGCAGACATCAAAATTGCGTGCTGGAGCCAAACAATGATAAAAGCGAGGAAAAGAAAAACTGAACCAAACTCTATCTGGGCATGCAGAGAGATGTTAGGTTGTTAAGTAGTTTCGAAGGGAATAAGACCGGAATTTGTTGCTGAAGTTTGGAGTTCAGTACTGCCTGGGATTCAAATAATTTACAAAGGTAAAGGAGGTACCTTAGCATAGTCCTCTCAAGCTAAAGGACTTTGTCTTCTGCTGACTTAGCCCATTATGATATAGAATAGGCGATTAAACCAAAATGAATATGACAGAGAAATGATTGCATATCATATTAAAACCTATTCTAAGTACCAACACCAATAATAAAAAAATTCAAACTAATAGAGGCGCAGAAGCATTTCAACAGAAGTTATTATGCCAAACAGTGAGGATAACTCAATAAAACAAAACTAGCTCCATGCCGTTGGCTTTCTATCAGCTGAGAATTCATTTGCTTGCTGTATTCACCTTCTACCATAGAAGCTGATGCTTCCAGACAACTGAGAAATGCAGTATGTCCCCATGGAAGTCATAACTGGGGCTCTGGTCAAGGCTCACTGGCAAAATTGACTAACAGATGATTGTTAAGTCCTGGGGAGTTAGGAGGTAGGGGAGAGTCAAAGGGGGAAAAAAAGCACATTTGGCTTCTTTGGCCAAAGGCAGTTAGTTAAGTCTCGTTGTTATTGTTGTTATTTGTAACTGGGTGTTTTTTTCTGTCTTTTCTTTTTTGGTAGTAGGGATCGAACCCAGGATGTTGCACTTGATAGACAAGCACTGTGCCACTGAGCTACATCCCAGATCCAAGCCTCTAACTTTAAAGAGAACAGAGCAGATGATGAATCTTTCTGGAAGCTTCTATTTGGAAAGGATCTCAAAGTTCTATACTGAACTAATAGTCTATGATTCTACCACTTCAAGTAGCTTAGATGAAGGAAAATATCTGGGGATGGGGCATATAAAGAGGATACTAAGAAATAGGGACTAGGAGCTGGGAAGGTGGCTCAGTGATAGAGCACTTACCTTGCATGCATGAGGCCCTGGGTTCGATTCCCCAGCACCACATAAGCAAAAAGAAAAAAAGCCGGAAGTGGCGCTGTGGCTCAAGTGGTAGAGCTCTCGCCTTGAGCTGAAGAGCTGAGGGACAGTGCCCAGGCCCAGAGTTCAGGCCCCACGACCAGACCCCCCCCCCCAAAAAAGAAAGAAATAGGGAGTATTTTGATTAGAAGAGATTGATTTGTTATTTTTTAATTCTAACTCCTTGTAAAATTAAAATAGCAGGAACTCTATTAATACACTGTTCCATACTTATTCATAAGCCAAAGTATTCCAGAGAAATAAATTCTATTCAAATGCCATTCACCTGAACCTTAGGAAAGATAATATCCTATTAAAGTGATGGCTTATGATACCAGAAGCTAAATCAGAAAGTCTCTTGCAGGCAAGGGGAAAACATAGTGAATATTTCATGAAGTTTGTTTATTATTGTTCTTACCAGTCAATCACTTGATTAATAGTGGCTGCTGTACAAGACATTATGAATCTCTTACGTTGACCTACAACATGAATGAGGAAAAAGCCTTGTAATTATAGCTTTCTGCAAGATGAGCATTTGCACCAGAGGCCTAACCTTTACTACATGGTCCTGAATGGTCCTGCAAGCTCAAAGATAGATGCGCTGACATCTACAGAGAAATATACTATAGTTTCCAGACAATGAAGTATTTCTGTCTTTATCTGATTAAATTTACAACTCCATTTGAAAAATGCATAGCTGGTGGAATCCTTCTGTTTATGTTCTATTTACAGCCAGAGGAAGCAGGTGAGTGGCAGTGAGGATTCATTTCGAGTCCAACGGAGAAATCTCTATTATCATTCCAGTCAGGAATGACAATGTTTCCCCCAATGCATAGCAAATTAAAGGATGACTTTTCCTTTCCTTTTTTTTTTTTTTTTAGCTCTAAGACCAGGACTCGAACTCTATACTTGACACTTTTGTTCATTGGCTAGCACTCTACCAACCGAGCCATACCTCCAACCCAAATTGATGACTTTTTAAACAAATGACAGGAATGTAAATCTAGTTTTGTTGTGTGTGGGGGGGGTAACATTGGAAGAGAAAACATGAAACAGAGTGGGTTGAAGAACTTTATGTACATGTATGAAATTAGATGAATGAAACTTGTGATATCGTTTCACGGGGTGGGGGTGGGGATAAAGAAATTGGATGGAGTACATTATATGCATATATAGAAACATCACAAAAAAGCCCCTTGTATAACTAATAATAAATACTAATAAAACATAATAAAAAATGGTGATCATTTTTTTGGGGGGGTCCAGTCGTGGGGCCTGAACTCTGGGCCTGGGTGCTGTCCCTCAGCTCTTCAGTTCGAGGCTAGCACTCTACCACTTGAGCCACAGAGCCACTTCTGGCTTTTTTCTTTTTGCTTATGTGGTGCCGAGGAATCAAACCCAGGGTCTCATGCATGCAAGGCAAGCGCTCTACCACTGAGCCAGCCCCTGGCTATCATTTTTTATTGAGACAGTTTCAATGTCTAGACCAGAATTCAAGATCTTCCTGCCTTAGCCTCCTGGGTACTGGGATTACAGGCAAGTGATCACAAAACAAGAGCCTATCTTGTTGGTACTACCTGTTTCTTGAACAACCACTTCCATTTTGAAATGTGTAGGCTTTTTGAAATATGTAATTTCATTAGCTGAGATTGCTTTTCCGTATGTCAAGAAACTCAGGACTACTTCCCGCTGGTCTTCCTGAAGAACTGAGATCACAAGAGGACACAACACAACTCTACTTTTGTCACCATTGGTCCTGAGGCCAAGACAGCCTCCTGGAGCGGCTGCTGTTAGCCACCCTATCCATGGGCTGCAGCTTTACTGATTTCCTGAGATTCAAGGAGACCCAGCAGAAAGCTGTGAAATGATCAAGGGCCCACTAGTTCTCCAGCTCTCTTCTAGGAACTGAGGTTAAAGAATATCAACCATTGCACTAATATTAATAAGGAGGTGTTATTCCCAAGGGTGGAAATTACTGAGTCTCCAATCAGAGTGAGCAATGGCGGGCTTACATGAATGATTCCATGAACCAGGCACTCTAACTTTTACACTTAAAAGAGAGAAACTGAGGCTGAGAGGGGTTCTATGGGTACTTTGGATCACACAGAGCCTGAAAACTTATGCCAGTATTTGGATTGGGGTTGTCTGCCCTTCAGACTCTTCAGCTAGACCACCTAACTCACTACATCTTGGATGAAACCATAAGTCCATCTCAGGAGTTCCCACTGGACCTATCATAACTGGAGGAAGTCCCTAACAGGCCTGCAGTGGATCCATTAACACAGGTAGGTGGCTGTTTTTGCTTGATCTGATGATAGGATGGCAGATTCATGACAGGGACATGAGACAGAAGGATGCTAAGAAGACTAGGCATGAAATAATTGCAGTTGATATGGTATAAAAAGCTCTATTTCTGCAGTACCTAGAATGGAAAAACCAGGGTAAATTCAATAATACAGAGATTAACTGTAACCCCTCTGCACCTTTACAATAATTTAAAAAATAACAGCCAGGCAACGTAGCTCACATCTGTAATCCTAGCTATGTAGGAAGCTGAGATCTGAGGATCACAATTCAAAGTCAGCCTGGACAAGGAAAGTGAATGAGACTCTTATTTCCAATAAGCCCCCAGAAAACAGAAAGTGGCATTGTGGCTCATAGAGTGCTTGCCTTGAGCTGAAGAGCTGAGGGACAGTGCCAAGGCCCAGAGTTCAAGCCCCACGACTGACAAAATAATAATAATAATAATACATAGAGTGTTGAAGAACAGGATTGTGATCGCTTAGCCCTGGAAAGAGGGAGTGAAGGCATGGAAGGCACCAGACTTCCTTCTGGGAGATTGAATGATGCTATGTACTAGGTCAGAAGGGCCAGAAGAGCAGAACTGGAGAGTGGGAGAGGGGAGGTAACACCATGTTTCTGTGAAGTATGGGGGGGTGGAGAACGCGGGCGGATATAGCCAGTGGGATATAGCAAAGATCCTCATATCAAACACACAAAAATCCTTATATCAAAACCCATGAAGATAAAAAGCCACAGAAAACGACTCCCTTGGTTTCCTGATCTACCAATGTGTACACTGTGAGCCCTAGAAACTCAGTAGCATTTTGAGCCCCAAACACAAAGGAACTTGCAGTCTCCAGTTTCACCACAGGGAGCAGCACTGAGCCCCCTTCTCCTAGACATCCATTGTTCTACTTCTCCAAGGAATTAAGCCTCTAATTAGTGGCAGAGGATAATGTTGTTCTACTTGCAAAATAGTCCCAGGAGAGGCCTTGTCCATTTGCCTTTCACTCTTTTAACAAAGAGGCAGAGTAGGATAAGCAGTTTTCCCTTTGGTAAATTAGTCTTGAACATCTGAGCTCAGACAAAGCTAAGGAGATCTAAGTCTCTTCTCACCTATCCCTTAATAGAGACCTAAGTATACCAGAGGCAAATGCTACAGGAGTTTCATACAGACAATCAGTGACCAGCGTTTCCACCTGCCCCTTTCAATTTCTCTTAACATATATGTTGTAGGTTGTAGTCATATTAATTATAACCATAGGTATTATTTGCATAGCATCTCTGGAAGGGCCTGCAACTGTGCAAAGTCCATTGCATTCTGAAGCTGATGCTTTAATATTCAAGGAAAATAATATTTAATACCTACTATGTGTCCTAGGGATGTGGAGTAGGCTGGGACTGGGTCCCTAACATCAAATTCCTTCTTCAGATATTATCCTCATGGTTAGCTAAAGACATTAATTCCAATTCTGTTTAAATGAAACTCCTGTCACCCTGCACCAGCGTTTGTAGGGCCCAAGAGAGCTCAGGGAGCAGGGAGCTCCCATAAATCATCACACTAGGCAAAACCTGGGATTCATACAGCACTTGTAGTTGCTCTTACAAATTATATCATGTTGAGGTCTTAAGCAAGAGCCTACCCTATGTCTTCTTGCAGGTCCTCTCCCCTACTGCTCATCCCTCCCTGAAAATCCAAAACTTTTAACAAAAAGCAGAGCTGCATCCTCTCTCTGGTTTGGACTTTCTCCCCTTGCTGCTGCCCACAGCAAAGTGCCACCCAGGTTGATGAGCCTAAGGTCCCAGTTAGGTCCCAGCTAGGGAGCCCATCAGCCAAGCATCCGGGGCTCAGACTTCTAATCCTAGCTATTTGGGGGTCTGAAAACAGGAAGACCACAGTTCAAGGCCAGCCTAAGCAGAAAAATGTGCCAAGAATTCACCTCAATAACAGAAGCTGGACGTGGTAGCGCATACCGGTCATCCCATCTATGGTGGGAAGGCTAAAATAGGCATATCACAGTCCCAGCACATGTTTAGGCAAGAAGTGATGCCCTATCTCTAAAATAATAAGAACATAAAGAAGGCTGGAGCTGGGGCTAAGTGGTAGAGTGTTGGTTTAGCAAGAAAAGCATCCTTCCATTTTTGGCCATAGTGTTTTTTCCACTTGAAATCATATCTCCCTGTCATTTGAGGAAGAATGAGGTATACTTTTTAGGAACTAGGAAGTGGTAACTATATATGCATGTCTCATCGTGGTTTAAAAAAGTGGCCTCTGGAGTCAAGTTGCTCAAGTTTAAATCTCAGGTCAACCAGTTGGAAACATTCACTATTTTTCTTTTGTTTAATGAGGATAATCATGACAACCAACACAAAATTAGTAGGAAGAACCAAAAGTGATCATGGATGCAAGACCCTCAACACGGTGCTGGTGGAAAGCAAGACCTCAATGCACACCTATCACCACAAGAGCTCCCTGTCCACGCCACCAAGAACTCACCATGTCCAAATGTCCTCTTGGAATTGGAGAAAGTTGGGACACCTCCCTGCCTTGTGAGGGGGGAAACTGAGGAGGGCCCTGAGATGTCCAGGAGAGAGATTGCACCAAGAATGCCACACAGCTGCTGGGAGAATCATAGGACTCTGCACCTGGGTTGCTGTGCTCAGCACCGCCTGGCTTCCCCTAGAAAGAGCCATCTACTCAGCCCTGACTGCAGCCCCCACTTCTGCCCAGCGCTGACAGCAGACCCCTTATTCTGTCCAGCGCTGACAGCAGCCCCCCACTTCTGCTCGGTGCTGGCAGGAGCCCCTACTTCTGTTCAGTGCTGAGAGTTGCCCCCACTTCTGTCCAGCGCTGACAGCAGCCCCCCACTTCTGTCCAGCACTGACAGCAGCCCCCCAATTCTGCTCGGTGCTGGCAGGAGCCCCTACTTCTGTTCAGTGCTGAGAGTTGCCCCCACTTCTGTCCAGCGCTGACAGCAGACCCCTGCTTCTGTCCAGCACTGACAGCAGCCCCTCTGCTTCTGTACAGTGCTGACTGTAGCCCTCCACTTCTGTCCAGTGCTGACAGCAGCCCCCACTTCTGTTCAGTGCTAGAAGGAGCCATCCCCCACTTCTAGCAACTTATGCTGGTCAATACATAGGACTACTGGGTTCTACTACTGGCCATGGTTCTCAACAGGGAGGAACTGAAGGTGTCTGGGGGCGTTCTGGGGGCACTAGCTTGGGGCTCGTTAGCACTCTCCACCATTACTACATGGCAGAGAGTGGCTCGACTTCCATCAGCTGTGAAGCCACTGAGAGTTTATTTTCCTGCATGCTCTTCCCCAGCACTGAGGAAGAAGTCCACAGCCCGGCAAGGTTGTGGCATCAGCACCAAGGGTCCAAGGAGAGGACTCACCTGAGGAGAGAGAAGCCCCACCCCTTGCACACATCCCCCTCGGGCCCAACTGCTCAGAGGGGTCACCCATGCCAGATTCCAGGGCTCCCCACCAAATGCAGAGCAGACAGGCTTAGATGTCAACCACAATCAAGTAGGAGAAAAGATGAGGTATTCAATGTCACTACCTACCCCCGATGGCCTGGCTGCTGCAGACCCTGCTGGCTTCCACCCAGCCACGCTGGATACCACACCACCACCTCCAGGACCTTCCCACATGCGTGGGACTCAGTCCTGCCACGTCCTCGGGGCGTCCCTGTATGCTGTTCCCTTGTCCCAGCCAAGGACTGCTTAGGAAGACCAGATCACACCCACTCCACAGCGCTTTTGAGGTGATAGGAGGTCCTGGCTCCACACCCTCCTTCTTAAAGGGGCCCAAAGGCTTGTCAGGTGCAGATGGTTCAACCCCGCAAAGGAAACTTTCACAAACCCAACCGCAGCCATGGCCTGAGCATTAGCAGCTCTGAGCTAAGTGGACTTCAGATCTCTGCTAGAAAACGCTTCATTTTTCTTCTCCCTACATGCATTCAAGTCCAATAAGACCGTAAAAAGTCCCCCGGAGGTCACAGGGGTCTAACTCTCCTTTTACAGACTAGGAAACTAAGTCACAGAGAATACCCACACATTAAAACAACAACAACAAAAGACCTGACTCTTACCTGTGGGCCACGTGTCAACACTGGGTGGAGAAACGATGCTGGGGAAGTGTGGTCAAGAGTTCATCACCAAACCGTGTGTTATGAATAACGAGGTTAGGAGCTTCTACGCCGGCCCAGCAGGGGCCGGGGCTCCCTCCTTTCAGTGGCTCTCATCTAATTACGGGTAGGTACAGTAATTGGAAACAGGCTATCTCCGATGGGCAGGGTTTCAGGAAATGGAAACCGCTAATAAGATTCTGCCTGGGAAGACTCAGCCTCACCAGGGCATGCAGCTGGGACTCTCTCCCGAGGCCTGCCCCAGAGGAGAAGACAATTCCAGGAGTAGGAATAGCAGGCTTGGAAGAGGACATGGAGCCAGACACCTCTGGCTCACACCTGTAATCCTAACTATTCAGGAGGCTGAGATCTGAGGAGCACAGGTCAAAGCGAGCCCAGTCAGGAATGTCCATGAGACTCATTTCCAACTAATCACCAACAAAGTGGTTGAACAAAGAAAAGCTCAGAAACTGTGCTCAGACCCTGAGTTCAAGCTCTAGGACCAACACAGGAAGGAAGAGAAGGAGGAAAGGAGGAAAGAAGGGAAGGAGGGAGGAAGGAAGAAAGGAAGGAAGGGAGGGAGAAAGGAAGGGAGGGAGGAAGGAAGGAAAGAAGGAAGGAAGGAAGGAAGGGAGGGAGGAAGGGAGGGAGGAAGGAAGGAAGGAAGGAAGGAAGGAAGGAAGGAAGGAAGGAAGGAAGGAAGGAAGGAAGGAAGGAAATGAAGGAAAGAAGGGAGGGAGAAGGAGAGGGAAGTTTCCTGTTTGAGAACTAGGTCCTCCATGCTAGGGCAGCACTAGAGGTTGATGAACCAAGAAGTATATAAACAAAACCCACTAGCAAATGATTAGGTGTAGTTTGAAAGTGATCTTCAATAAATGGAACTAGATACCAGTGACTCTTCTTTCCATTATCCCATGCAATCTTCAAAGCCATTCTCTAAATTACATACCTCCATTTGGCAGAGGAGGAAACTGAGGTGTAAAATCATTTGAGCTACTTGTCCATATTTGCCCAGGTAGGTGTGGAGAGGATTGGACCCACCCATGTCCAGGCCCAGAGGCCTAGCATTCTCTACTCGATGCTATGCCATCTTTGCCTTCCTATTGCAACAGCCTCTGTTCCTAATCGGGACCAGCCTCATTCTGCCAGGCAGGGTAGGCAGATTCACAGGCTCTATCAAAGCAAAGTGGACCTGGGAAAGAAGACAGAGGTGCCCAGTGGGGACCAATGCCCCCTCTCTGTGGCTTGAGGACAACCAGCCCGGGGCGCTCAACCATCCCAGGAACTACAAGCTGAGGCCGACATCACAATGCGCATTCTCCGCACAGGGACCCAGGATCCTCATCACTATTGGTACCACCTGGCCCTCTGGGTATCAACTATGTTACCATTTGCAGCTGAGCTTGAGCTGAAAAGCATCCAGTGAATATCAGTGAGCAAGTTCATAGCTCAGTGGTTCCCCAGATAGATTAGCCAAAGCCTCATGCTCTGCTGCCAGATTTTCCACAAAACCAGCTGCACGTGGCTTCCTAAGGTTGCCTTGTTAACAGGCCTTGATTTGTGGATCAGCACTTTCCCATCTGGTGCCCACCAGCTGGGCTGAGAGGGAGGGGATGTCTCTTTCCTCCTTATCCTCCTCCTCCTCCTCCCCTTCCCCTTCTTCCTCTTCTTTATCCTCCCTGTCTCCTCTTTTTTCTTTTCTTCCTCCTTCTCTTTTCCTTCTTCTCCTTTTCCTCCTCGTCCTCTTCCTCCTTCTTCTTTCTCTTACTTCTCTACTTCTACATGTTCATTCCCAGCAGTTCAAAACCCCATACCCTCTTTGCCCTCATTTTAAAGCCCAATCTCAAGCCCAGTCTCTCCTGTCCTACATAAACCTACATCACCAAAAGGGAGCTCTGTTCTGCTGGATCCAGCGGGTACAATTCCGTCGGCTGGTTTAGGTCCACCCCTCTTGCCCTGTAAGGTTCCCCAGTGAGTTGGGGAAGATAAGGGCCAGGTTGTGCTTCGCTGTTGTTACAGGTCATGTGCCCTAGGGACCCTGAGGGCCACGATCCCTGGAATCATCCCACCCACCTGCCGTTCCAGTCTGTGGAGGCGCCCAGGCTGTCTGGGCTTTCTCACCAAGACTCCTCAGGAAGTCGATTCTGGTCCAAAGCCCTGCTTCCTGACTGGAAGGCAAAGGTGGATCCTCTGACCCCAGTCCAAATCCCAGGAAGCCAGCCCCACCCTGTCTGCAACCTCGGCCTCCCTACCCTGGACCCTAGAATCTTCCTCTGATTAGGGTCTTGTCCCAATACCTCCTGTTCCTTATGTAATAATCTGAGTCTGAGTCATCTCTGCCCCTCTAAGATCTAGGCTATTGAAATTCACAAACCAGCAAAAATGGTGCCTCAGCTCCTGTCTGCCATCAGCTGGGTTGGCAGGAGACAGGATTTCACTGATAAAAGGAAGGGAAAGGAGCGAAAACAAATGACAGTAATCAGCTAACTCCTTTCTTCCTTCTTCCCTCCCTCCCTCCCTCCCTCCTTCCCTCCCTCCCTTTCTTCCTTCAT